GTACCATTCACCCAATAGAAACATGCAGTGGTTTAGTATATCTATAGAGTTGTGGATCTATCACCACAATCTAATTATAGAACATTCTATCACCCCAAGAAAAGCCCCCACTAGAAACATCACTCCCCATTTGCACCCTTTCCTCTAGTCCTAGGCTACCATGAATCTGGTTCCTGAATTTATGGATTTGTCTGCTCTGGATGTTGCATTAATTTGTAATTGTACAATATATGGACTTCTGCATCTGATTTCTTTCACTGATCGTACTATTTTCAAGGTTTGCCCACATTGTGGCGTAGATGTGCCTCATTACTTTTTTTTTTTTTTTTTTTTTTTGGTACTGGGGATAGAACTCGGGTCCTTGCGCTGCCTCATTACTTTTTATTGTCAAATATTATGAAATTGTATTTTCATCCAACAGTTGATGGACATTTGTTTTTTCCACTTTTTGGCTAGTGTGAGTATAGCTGCTATAAATAGCTGTTTATAAGCCCTTGTATCAATATGTTTTCATCTCTCTTGGGCAGATATCTGGAAGTGGAATTGCTGGGTCAGATGGAAACTCTGTTTAACATTTTGAGGAATTGCCACATTGTTTTTCAAAACGACTGTGCCATTTTACATTGCCATCAGCAATGTGCAAGGATTCCAGTTTATGCATACCCTCACCCATCCTTGTTGTTGTGGTCAAATTTTCAATTGTTATAACCATCTGAGTGGTGATAAAGTGTTAGCACATGGTTTTGATTTGCATTTTCATAATGACTAGATGTTGAGTTTGTTGACCACTTACTTATATGGAGAAATGTCTTTGTAGAGATTTCTGTTCTGATCCTTTGCCCATTTTAAACTTGAGTTATTTGTCTTATTATGCAGTTGTAAGGGTTGTTTATTCCAATTAAAGAACTTTATCAGACATGATTTACAAATATTTTCTCTCAGTTTGTGAGTTTTCTTTTTACCTTATTGATGACTTTATTTATTTATTTATTTATTTATTTATTTATTTATTTTTTGAGACAGGGTCTCACTGTAATTCAGGCTGGCCTTGATCTCACTATGTAGCCCAGGCAGGCCTCAAACTCCCGAGACAATCCTCCTGCCTCAGCCTTCTCAGTGCTGGGATTATAGCCGTGCTCCACCACGCCCAGCTGATGATATTATTTAAAGTACAAAAGTTTTAAACTTTGATAAAAATCCAATATATATCAATTTTTTCTTTTATTCCTTGTGTTTTTGGTGTTGTATCTAAGAAACAACCGCCTAACCCCAAATCAGGAGGGCTTACTCCTGGGTTTTCTTTTTCTTTTTCTTTTTCTTTTTCTTTCTTTCTTTCTTTCCTCCCTCTCTTTCTCTTTCTCTTTCTTTCCTTCTTTCTTTCTTTTATTGTGTTAGGGACAAGCACAATGTGTCAAGCGTGCTGTGCAAGTGCTCTCCCACTGAACATCTCCAGACCTTCTAAGCTTCCTGATGGTTGTAGGTCTTACATTTTGATTTGTGATCCACTAAGAATTAATTTTTTTGGCTGTCCATTTGTTTCAGGACATTTGTTGAAAATATATTTTTTCCCATTAATTTCTCCATTCACTGCCTAGCCTCTGGCTCAGCTCTCCTGCTCTTCATTCTTATTTAGGGGATGGGAGTATTTCCCAGTAGAAAGGCTCTACTGGTGTTGGAGCAGGGCCAACACCTATCACTATAGGTCTCCCAGACAGGGCACAAAGATAGTCCCCAGGCTGGATTGGCCAGAGTCAAGGTGAGCCAGGAAGCCTCAGAGAAGACAGGTCTTCTATCAGGCTGTGTTATTGGAAGTAGCCACCATGCTGATGTCCTTGCCCTGGGACAAGGACACTATGAGTTAGGTCAGCAGGACTGTTAGGGACCAACTAGGCCAGGGCTCTGGTGCTGGGTCTTGTGTGCTCTTCTTGAGAATGTTGACCCTAGTGCCTGTGGAGTGACTGGGCTTTAGCAAGTGGACCCAATTGGCAGGGTGGCGGTTGGGCTATGGCTCAGTTCTGAAGGTCCCTGGCCTGCTGGAGGATGAGTCCTTTCCCTGTGGCCAGGCTGAGCAGTCCTGGTTGCTTTGCCGAGCTTGCCTGCCCACTGCAACCCCACAACAGTAGATCTGGGGCCACTGTGGGGACAGACACCAGTGCCACATTCAGCAGGCAGGGCTCACAGTCCCCAAATGGGACCCACAGTCAGTGCCACCAGCCTGGCCCCAGGAACTGCTGCCAAGTGGCTTTTTATCTGAGATGTACTTGGTATGTGGGGCCCCTGTGCTTCACTGAGCATGATTCACATGAACTCAGAGACCTCAGAACCTAACTGGAGGGCTGGTCCTTACTACTGCAGCCCCCGGCAGCCAGGTTCCAGTTGGGAAAGGTGGCATGCTGCCAAGAGCAGTGATAGCCACAAGCATCACTAAGGCTCTTCCCCTTCTCCAAATAGTTTCCCCACTTTGATCGAAGAAGTTAAAGTTTCAGAGGGTGGATCTTCATGAGCAGTGGGGCCCCTTGGCTGTAACACTGGATGGCTGAGGAGCAGCAAGGCCTCTGGGGAGTGGGCTGCAGGGCCCCTGCATATGTCTGTGCAGGTCTTGCCTTTTGGCCAGTGGATTCTGCACATTATGGTGCCTGTGCTTACTGTGCTGCCAGGGATACAGGTTGTGCAGAGAAAAGAGGGTCTTGTCTAGGGTAGAGGGGATGGCCACCTGTAGGTCCCAGTGGGGGCCACAGGGCCAAACAAGAACTACACACTGTAGTGGGCTCCTAGCAGGGACTTTCAGTTGTTTCCAAGAAATTCCCTGAAAAAAGCAGCAGAATCATGTCACGGTTGAACTGGGTCCTCCTACATGAGGTTGTGAAAATTTAGGGTTTGTGCTTTGACTAACTACATGTTCTACCCCCAGGGGTGTGGTTCAGAGGCCCTTGCTCTGGGAATGCCCACTGGCTTTGCTGCCACCAGGGGACAGGAACTGCTTCTTGGAGGAATGAATGCTTCTAAGGTCTTGGTCCTTTGCTGAGCAGATGTGAGGTGTCAGGCTGACCTAGGGTCAGCAGCACGAGGAGTGTAGGTGATAGAGAATTCCACACGGGCTCATTTCCGGACTCCTAGGGGTAGTGAAGGTGGAGAAGCTGAAGTGGCCTAGTCATCTCCCATCAAGCAGAGAGTTAAAGGTCCCTTTCCTTAGGCAGTTCCCACCTGCCAGTGTTTTGAGAAGTAGGAGAGACTTGGAGCAGGAGCTCCAGAGGAGGGGGCTTCTGGGGGACCCTGCAGGGCATAGACCTTAGGTCCTTCCCTACAGCTGTCAGCAAGCCATACCCAGTGACCTTTCATGTTCCCTGCTACAAGAAACCTCACTTGAGCCATGCAGACCAACTGGTCCACAGGCGTCCCCAGCTTCCCTTCTCCCAGATGGATGCTCAGAAAGGGAGGCTGAGCACTGCAGGGCTTGAGATGCATAGAGGAGCCTCCAACCCCAGCTCCAGAGTGTGATGCACACCCTGTGGCTGTTGACAGTATGGTTGTCGTCTTGCTCAGGTCTGGAATCTTCCAAGCCTCTTCTTCCTACCTCTCTTCCCAATAGACCGAGGTTGCCTGGCCTTGCCTCCCCTGTGCAAGGCCCTCTTCTTAGACTCCCATACTCTCAGTGGCATCTTCCCTGTGAGTTTTGTGTTTTGGGTGTCCTCTTCCTGCCACAGGCTCGAGGACCCATCTGTGGGATAGGCTTGGCTGCCCTTAGAGGCACCTCACACTGGCTCAGGGTGACCACCACCAATCTTACATTCCAGATGGGAACCTGGGGGTCTTGAGACCTTGGAGTGGGAAAGGTCCTGCAGCCATTCCTCACCAGTCAAAGTGAGAAGGTGAAAGCCTGTCCTCAGCCATGCCTTGTGATTGACTCACAGATCAGAGGGGGAAGGTACTTAGTCAGGGCTAGCAGTAGGTATCAAGTCCGGTGGGTTTACTGTTTCTTTGAACGCCTAGCATTATATTATCTTCTTGATACCCGAACTGCTTCCCTCTGTGTCTAGGCTCCCAAAGGCAACCTAAGGCCTTTTAATGAGATGGGGGCATTTCTAGGTACCAAGAAGATGGTGTTGCTTGAACCATAGGGCTAGCTGCGGCCAGGGGTGGTAGAATTCTAGAGAAAAACAGCATTTGGGGATACATATCAGAAACTTGGGTGGGGGAAGAAAGATGATGTTTATGACAACAGTGTGGCTGACCTGGCTTGTAGCAGTATCCAAGCTCACTTCCAAGAAGAAGCAGAGAGCAGAATGCAGGAATACTTATTTCCTGTTTTTATTGTTGGTTACTAATAACCTTCCTTTGAAATTCCACAGTTGTAGAAAGCAGGTTGTCATGGAAACAGGGAGTGATGTGCAGGGAATAGGTACATAATGCATTTCTTTGTCATGTCCAGTTGATGCATTTAGTCTTTGCTTAGATGTGTGAGTTTATGTGAGGAATTAAATATTAACTGGAGACATTGCCCTGGAAAGAAGCAGAACATAGGGAGAGAAAAGGCTGAAAACAGGCAGAGTGATGGTGGAGCCCAGAGATCCTTGTGGGAGGCAGAGTTGTCAGAGCTGATTCAGGGTCATGGGTGGACTTCACTTTCCTTGATCAACGGGCTGTAGAGAAGTTGAGCAAAGCAATGCGTTTTTTCTTTTTTTGGTACCGGGGATCGAACTCAGGTCCTTGTGCTTTGTGCAGCAGTAGGCGAAACCACTGAGCTAAATCCCTGGCCCCAATGTGTTTTTCTTATTCTTTTTTTTGAAATGGATCTGGTTTTTTTGTTTGTTTGTTTTGTTTTGGTGCCGAGGATTGAACTTGGGACCTTGCACTTTCGAGGCAGGCACCGGAACCACTGAGCTAAATCCCCGGCCCTGGATCTGGGTTTTGGGAGCAGCAAGGGATTTAGTTGTAACTGAGTAATTAGTCACTAGTCAGCTAATCTTCAACATAAGAGAGCTTAAATGCTATGTCTCCAGGTGGGTCTTACCTGGCTTTCTTCAGCACCCTTGGTTGGAACTGCTATATTCATGCACATCCACACCCTGCTGACCTGTGTCCTCTAAAGCAGCTGCCAGAGCTGGGATGATGGTGCAGAACCTCTGAGAGGTGAGAGGAATTTCTCTTGTCCCTGAAACAACCAAGACCTTGCCAAGATCTTGCCCGTCCTCCTGGTGGATTCCAGATACGAGGGGATTATGTAAATGTTGTGTAAAGCATCTCAAGTCTCCCTTTCCTGGAGCCAGCCTGGTTGGTTCTCATCAGGACTTCCTTTTCTCGGTATCTTTTTAAACTCTCAGAAAATGAGTTCCGGGGTGAACTGCTGACCCAGAGGTGGACACCTGGAGACAAGGCCAGCATCTACAGGACCTCAAGACGCCTCTTGGGCAGACACAACAAGGTGAGAACTCCACCTTGCAGGCTGCCTGTGCCAACCTCTTCTCAGTTTCTAGGCGTGAAGCACAGAGGGGATGGTCTGGATTGGGCAAAGGGTAAATGGAGAGTAGGACCATGTAGTCACTTTAGAACTAAAGGAATAAAGTGATTCAATACAGTAAAACTAACATGTGACAGCAGAGTCTCACCTTTCAGCAGTTCCCTGCCTTGAACTATGTTCCCATCTGTGTCTCAGAGAACCTCACAGTCTGACAACGGACTCTAGAGTCAGAACCTATGAGGCTTGAGGACCTTGTTTTTTTCTTTTCTTTTTTTTGGTACCAGGGATCGAACTCAGGTCCTTGTGATTGCAAGGCAGGCAGCAGAACCACTGAGCTAAATCCCCGGCCTTGCTGACCTTGTTTTATTGCCACCTTCCTAGGTGTGGCAGATGGTATAGCACTTCTTAGGCCTGCCCAGAGCATGATGGAAGTGCTTTAGGCCCCCCATCTCCCAGAGCCCCACCCAGCTCCAGGATATAGCATGTGCTCAGGGCTACTGTTCCTGCTGCCAAGCCTCTAATTGCAGAAATTCTTAATGAGCTTCTTTAGGTAAAACCAGCTCCCCAAGGCCTGGTGACCCCAGAAATGGGAGTTGAGACGAACAGTAGTTGAGAGAGCACTTCGTCCCAGAGGATGCATGCCGATCACTCATCCTGACCTGTCCATTTTTCCATACCCGTTGCCACCCGGGGCATGGTCACCAAGATGGAAACAGCTCACATAGCTTGATGTGGGAACTTCATTTGAGGGTTCTTGTACTTTACTGTCAAAACCCAACATTTTTCTTCTGAATCTGGTGACAGGAAGGTGAGCTTTATTTTATTTTTTATTTTCTTTTGGTACCGGGGATCGAACCTGGATCCTTGTGCTTGTGCAGCAGGTGGCGAAACCACTGAGCTAAATCCCTGGCCCCAGAAGGTGCATTTTAAAAGATCTGTGGTGGCTGCCTTGTAAAGCACCCTCACTCCTCTTGGTTCTGTGAGGTTGCCTCAGGCCTAGGAGTACTAATCTTGTCTTAATCTAGAACTGTGATGTGTTTTTTTGCTGTGGATTTAAAAATCTTATTGTTGATGTCTAAAATATTGCATTAAAATATTCTCTATCTTGATCACTGAGTCTTTGGCCTCACTCCCCTCACCCCATTCTAGCCTGAGGATTCTCCTGAGCTCCACGGGAACAAGACCATGTAACCATGAAAGTGATCTAACTTGAGACCAGAGGTTCTGAGTGAAGTGTTTTCTATGATTGTCTGCACAAAATCAGGGTTAGGTAGGAGAATTTTGGTCCCCTCATGGCCCTGATATAAGGTGCTCAGAAGGCTTGGGACCTGGCATGGATACCAGGTGACCGTCCAAAATGCAACTGACATGAGTAAGTCTGGGCCCACACCCAAGGTCCTCTTGGCAGCACCAGCCATTTCCTAAGTGCTCCACTGAGAGATGTTTGCCCCTATTTTGAGCAGCTAGGCCCTGAGTTACCCTTCTGATAGAAAGCTGAGACATGGCTTTGGTCAGGGGTGGAGGAGGATGGGAAAGGGCTGATGGTCCAGGACTGAGGGTACCACAGGTGGGATCTTCTGCTAAAGGAGGCTGAGAAGGAGCAGCACAGGGCACGATGGGCTAAGACATAGGGGGTGGGATGAGGAGCTACTGTGGGTGGGGCAGTGGAGCAGCTGAGGCCTGTGCAGGAGGTGGCCACAGCCGGCATAGCTCTGGGTTCAGCACCAGGAATGTGGACAGGGCAGAACCTGTTGGAAGGGGCTGTCAGACAAGGTGGGAGGTAGTGTGTTGGGGGAAGTACAAGTGTTGATGGCAACCTCCTGAACTCCTTCTTGACCAGTGGAATGAAGCATTTGGGCCCAAAGTTATGGAACTGATGAGAAGGTCACCTGCATGATGTTCAGCCATCCCTTCTCTGCTCTTGTGGGAGCCACTGGCGAGAACAACCAGATGGAGGCACCTGGAGGGTAGAGAAGTGCCACACTGGCTGTAGTCTTTCCGACCTACCTCACCTGATATTGTTGGCTTCTACCTTGGATATGGATAAATTCTATCTATGCTAGAATTTTTAACTGGTGGACATAGTTATGGCTATTTTACCAGAGTGTCCCTTTATGCAGCTGTAATTTTTAATTTGGGGATTGGAGTGGGCCAAGAGCCCACACTTATAGCTATCAGGAGACCCTTCCTAATGCATATGTTAAATAATTCCTGGTGGGGAAGTCCTTTCTACATCTAAGGAGAGGATGGTCTACTCAGCTATAAGAAGGTTGCACAATGGGTGGAATGTCAGGAGACGTTCAGATGCACAGTGGGATGTCCCCCAGAGGAAATAGAACTATCATGCAAGGAACCAGAAGGTGCAGATATGGCTTGCAGGGGAATAGCCATGTAGTTTGGCCTCAAAGATAGAGAAAGTGGGAAGCAGGATGTGCCCTGGGCTTCTGATAGAGCAAATCTTTGCATTGCTCTGTAGCCTGACCTGGTTTAGAGCTTACATTCAAAAGAAAAGGAAGCTGTGAACTTGTGCAGGTGGGTAGCAAATGAGTTGGGGCCTGGGAGGTTCCCCCCTGGAATGCTTGAGGAGGGGAACAAGGCCAGCCCTTGAAGACTGCTCATAAACTCTTAAGTGGAGCTCCTCCCTATTGGTAGGAACTGGATCAGGTTAATACTGTCCACTGTCAGAGATTCGCAGCAATGACAGAGCTGGTGTCCCTCTTGGCTGCAAGCAAGAAAAGAAGAAAACAAAACAAACCCCAGGTAGGATGAGGTGCTGGCAGGCCAAGCAGGATGGGGGATGGCCAGGTCCCCACTATTTCCCCACTCCCATGGGTTCTTCCTCCCTCTTCTCTGGGGAGGGGCTGCCCATGGTTCTGGGAGTCAGCAGACCCCTCCCTCAGGTCTCTGTGAGGAAAAGCATAGAGCAAGAGGCTCAACCCTTCTGCAGGCCCCTGTAATCCACATAAGTTTATGGATTTAAAAAATTCTCCTAAATCCACTCTAATTTTTCTGCATTGCTGGTTGTTGGACCATATTTTAAACAAGGGCTGGAGGGAACAACCCTATGGTGTCAGCAGGCCCAGAGCCCCCAGTCCAGGCTGCTGTGCTGTCTTTGCTCAGCCTCCTCTGGCTGCACCTCTCCATCTCCCATTGTCAGAATTCCATAAACAGCTCTGCCTGTGCCCACTCACTCCCGCATTCGCTCAAGAGAGAGCACAACAGAGGCTTTGCCATGGGCATAGTGCTGGCCACCCAAAGGTGCTCCCCCTCTGCCTCCCTGGAATGATGTGCAAACTTTGGAGAGGCCCAGCCTGGTATTGCCTGGAGCCCGGACACCTGCTGGGGACAGGCTACAGCACAGGCCCTCTTCTTTGACCAGTCCTCAGCCATTGCCTATCATTGCAGAAGGCAAATTTTGTGGAGCGAGCTCTTTAGTAAGGCACATACCCTTCCAGGGGTCACCATGATGTCCCTGAGCTTGTGCTGGAAGGAGGTGGGCATTCATGGCCTCTGGGGTGAAAGTGAAGCCCAGCATAAGCCTGTTGGCCTTAGGAGCCCATGATTTCCCCTTAAAGACTAGACGTGGGTTGTTTGTTTCAACTATGTGTCAGGCCCTGATTGTATTCCTCACAACTGTCACAGAGTTAAGAGAAATCTTCAGGTTTTGCTTTTAACTGTGTTGGTACCCAAGTTTGTAATGTCTAATTCAGGGGACTTGACTTTGCAGGTGGGTTGAACGGGGGCTGGTCATTGTGAGAGCTGTGTATGTTTACAAAGAGCTTACACAATTGGCCTTGACTTAACTAAAAAGGAACACAAAAGAGAGCAAAGCAAAAACACCCTCTTGAATTAAACTATTTTTGTGCATTACCAAGAATGCAAGTGGAGTGGATGGATGAAGAGCCAATTCTCTCCAGTTAATAGATATGGCAAAACATTATGTGTTTCATTTGTAAATTATTCTCTTCACAGTTTCCTGTAGAAGGCAGAACTGTTGGAGTATTGGTTTGAACTGTAAGATGTGCTCTGGGTGGCAGAATGAAATTGGTGTTAGAGAAATAGAGCAGACATTGCTCTTGAGTGAGATTGCTAGGCTTGCAGTGAGTCAGAAGTAAGCTTGGCCTATTTTGACAAAGGGACTCTTTCATGCTTAAGGCAAGATGTCATGAGTTATTTGTGGACTGTGCAAAAACAGGGTGCTGGTTGGTTTGTGCTTTGGACAAGCAAAGCGTTTTTAAAAAACAGATCGATGAGAAATTGAGAAGGGCCTCATTGCTTTTACATCTTTAGAGCAGACCATCCCTGTGTGAAGAGGCCACAAGATGTACTGGGGGCCAGTGGGTAAGTGAGGCTAGGCAGTGTCCTGGGCATGGCTGCCTCATGGGGACCCAGTCTCAAGGCAGAGGAGAGCAGATCTGCCTTGGCAGTGCTTTGAGTCCTGAAAAGCAAAACAATGTGAACTGAGTGGGGCTGGTTTCTTCACACCTTTGCCAGATGCCTCCACAGCCACTGCCAATGCCACCAGCCCAGAGGCCTTCGTCCCTTGCTTGGCATCCAGGTCACAGGTCTTTGAGCTCCTACAAATTCATTCTCATGTTAAACAGCCTGGCTTTTCCTCCTAAAGTCCAGGTTTTCCCTCTTAAAATCAAAGCTATTTGCGCTGAAGAAAACTTTTTGCTTATTGATCATTTAATGCAGATAAATTGCAAATGGAAAGGTGCTCAGCAAAATGAATGCCACAGCTGTTAGCTTCATCAATGGGAGCTCATAGTTTGCAAGCAGTGCTTATTACACATCCCTGCAAGTCTCTCTATTCTCTGCTCTTTGAATAATTTATCTGCAGGAAATCCAAATTGGCAAGGCCCACTTTAACCTAGCAGAATGCTTGCCAATTTCCTTGGGAAAACTGACAAAAAAAAGCTATAGCTTACATTTCAGTTGAACGCAGGCACCCAGCAGTCAGATGCATCAGCTCTATTGTGTGGCCTGCATCAGAAGGCGCTGTGCAGTCCACAGTTGAAGGCTCGTAAATGTAATGAAGTCCCTTTGACACCTGCTCCTCTCTTCACTTTAAATGGGAGTCATTGGTCCATGGGGAACCTCCACTTTAAAAATAGAAATTATAGTAATTGTCTTCTGTTCTATGGGAAGGCTATAATAAATGCATGGCTTCTAGCACTGTGCTCCACAGCCTGGAGCTGACAGGTTGCATAAATTTCCTACGTTTTGATTTTCCTTCCTTAACAAATCACATAAAGCATTGTAAGTTACATCATTTCGTGGTAGTGGCTCACTTTGCAAATTTCATCCTACTAAATGGGGGAATTTGTTTTTATTTCTTCCTAGGTAGAAGTATAGACATTTGTCTCCTGTTAACTTTTAGGACCCAAAAGGCCCATTTAAGGCAGGGACTTCTGGGCTCTGCTTCTGCCTTCCTCACTTTCTTTCTTTTGGGACTTCTTCCCCACTCTCCTGCCTCTTTTTGACAGTCTCGTACACACAACCCTGGCTGTCTCGGTGTCTGTGGCTTGGGACATTCCCGAATTCACCCCTCTCCTTCCTGACTTTAAGGACAAGTGCACAGCCCAGACCAGCCGCTCTCCCCCTGGCATGTATACCTAACCTGCTTAGTCTCGCTCCCGGGAAAAGGGTTGTTTTGCACACCGCAGAGTGTGGCAGGATTTCACCTTCAGATTTGCTATGGGATGCAGGATGGGGATTCTGTGTGGTGACCTGTAGCATCTGTGACTGTCACCCTCTGAGGGAGGGCCTTTCCTTGCCCCCAGCAAGGTCATGTGTGGGAGCATCTCTACGGAAGCTGATCAGGTGTCAGGGGCACAGGGGTGGAAACAGGATGGGCTCAGGCAGGACAGCCAGATCCCTGAAGCCAGAAGACATGTGACTGGGGTTTCCTTAGGCTGTCAGTTTCCAGCAAGATGACCCTAGTGTGTTAGGGCCGTTAATACCTCTGCTGAGTGTCAAGGAAGAGCCAGGCCCGGGGCACGTTGGGCAGACCCTGCTCCATGGGAGGTAGAGAGCCTGCCCCGGTGCTGAGCACTTGCTCGGCCAGGTGGGCAGCAGTTATTGCTCCCTGTTGCGCTAGGAGCCCCTTGTTACCAGAAGCCCAGGTGCCTGAGGATGGAGGAGGGCAGGTCCTGTGTTTTGGCTTTTGTAGGCTTGTATGAACCCAGGCCAAGGAGGCAGACCTGCTGTTTGTAGTCCTACCTTTGTCATTCTGGGCCACAAATTCATCTTCACTGTCAAAGCCTGAGCCTGAGAATGGCCAGATGCCCTTGATGGTTCTGGACATGGTAGGTGCTGGCTGTGGCTTCTTATTAACATCACAGTTGCTTTTTGTTTGCAGATGAGCTTAGAAAGTGATGACAAGCGAGCCCGCACGAGGTCCAAGGCCCTCCGAGGTGAGTCCTGCCGCCCAGCCTGAGCTCTCAACATCAGCTCTCCTTCTTGGAAGTGCTTAATGCACCTCCCCGACTGTCCTCGGGAGAATAAGGCCCACACCAAATATTCAGATGCCTTGGGACCCCTCACCCACATGAGGGACCTAGGAGCCTCTTCATTCTTTTTCATCCTCAGGGCAGCACCTAAGGGGGCTGCTGAGGGCCTTTGGCCCAGACAAACCTACCAGGGGGAGAGATGTGGAGACAAATACAGCTCCTTAGAGTGAGTACAGCAAAACTCAGTCCTTTTGTTTGAAAGTGAACGGCCACTGGCCTATCACCAGCCCACTTCCCTTCCAGAGATAGGCCTTGATGCTAGTGGGCTAGTGGGGACTGGGAGTTTGTTGGGTGGAACTGCCAATGGGGTGAGAAGGGGCAGGGGCATGCTCACTCTGTTAGTCTTGTCATGCCACACACAGGGTGTTCAGGAGCTTTGAGCATCTCAAGGATGCCTTCCCTGGTTGGACCCTATGCATCTTTGCAGCCATTGCCCATCGCTGGGGCAGGGGGAGACATTTGCCCACTTGTCTTCTCTGTCCAGCTTGATCTGGTGGATAATCTCTCCTGCCTAATGCTGACATCTATCTGCAGTTAGAGATAGAGATATTGCCTGGTCCCTGAGGGTGCAAAGAGAATCAGGTCCACTCTGCAAAACCTCCAGGGAAGGATCTAGTTCAAACATATGGCTGAAGAAGCAGTTCCCTCCCTGACCTTGGAGAATTTTCTATGTCCTTTTCTATGTCCCATATGTGTTTTCCTGTTTTTCTCTTTTTCTTACTCAGGACCTCCGGAAACCACAGGCGCAGACCTCAGGTAAGGAAGCCTTCCTGTTAGCACCATATACCACCCCATGCCTGGTAATACCCCAGATGTCCCTGTGAGCCCCTAATTTCTCCAAGGAGGCTGTCTCTGTGCTGTGTCTCTGCTATCTGCACCCCAACTAGCCCTGCCTCAGCTCTATCCTGGGCCCCCCCACAGCAGCATGAGTCGTGTTCCAGCCTCATGTCAGGGACCTAGGCACTGGTCACCAGTCACCACTAGGACCTGAATGTCACTGTGGTCCCCAAATCAGCAGCAAGGCTGCTTTCTTGGTGAGTTTCATAAAGGCTTCATTTCAGCCACATATGGGAGATAGGGTCTGCAGGCCTAGGGTGCACACAGTGCCCCTGCATACTGATGACCTGGCAATGGCTGGGTGTAGCTGGCAGCTCTGTGATGTTTCCTATACTTGTTTAGGGGTCTAGATTTCTCAGAAGCTGTACACCATGCTCACAGGTGCTCAGGCGGCTCATAGGTGGCCATGGGTGTTCATGTGAGCGCGTAGATGTGTGTGTGCTCAAAGTTGAGCCTATTTAAATCTTGAGATTCAAGGCTGATGTCTGCTGCACTGCGGCCTCTGGAGGCCCTGGCTGGGTCTTACATCGGCTGTGCTTTGCACTTCTTGCTTGCTGGGTCTCGGGAGTTCCAGCTTCTTGCCCTAGAGCAGCCTTGCCAGTTTCATGCACTTGGCTGCATGGCTAGACCTCTGAGCCTCAGAAGCTGGGTGGGAAGGTGCTGGCCCACCTAGCTGGGACTCAGACTTGGAGCTGGGCTGGAAGAGTTGTTTGGAGCGGGTGATGTGGTTTGGGTGCAGTGCCAGTGCCCTGCAGGGCCTCCATGGCAGCTGTCCCCTAATTGCCTGATTAACTCAGTGATTAATCGACTAATTGGGACCTCAGATTCAAATCCTCAGTAACAAGGAGATTCTGTGAAAAGTCCCAAAGCTAGTTCTTGGGAGAGTGAAAGGAAGTGTGGGCCTGGATTTTGCAGTAGATTGGCCAGGGGCAGCAGCAGTTCCTCTTTCTGAAGAGGAGATTGCAGTAAAATTTTTCTCTATCTTTCCTTCTCCTCTCCTGCCTGTTGCAGCCCTTCCTCCTCTGCCTCTTTTTCTTCCTTCCTTCCCTTCTTCCTTCCTTCCTTCCTTCCTTCCTTCCTTCCTCTCTCTCTCTTTCTTTCCTGCCCCTCCTATTCCCCCTCCTCCTTTTTGTTGTGGCCCCAGGGGATCAAACCCAGGGGCACTCCACCACTGAGCTATATCCCCGGCCTCTATCAT